CGAATACCTCAAGCGTGTGACGGAAATGTTACGCCCCTTACCATACTGTGATGCCCTGTCCAGCCGAACATTAAAACATTAAAACCCATTATAAACTAGGAATTTGTTGCATCCAGTGGGGACATAATTACTGATTATAATGACTTTTTTTACACCCAAACTACAAACGCTACTCTACATTGCTCAAAACTCGCGTTTGAATCGTCAGTGGCAAATTCTTTAAATATAAAAAACTTACTTACAGTCTGTGAGTCAGAACAGCCAGCATTGTAGTCTACTCTACCAGGATCAGTAAACAGTCCTCCATAAAATGCACTGGATACATTGGAATATTTGGGTTGAACTGTTCTGGAACAGTGTTGTAAATACAACTTAACCACTGATTTCTAGTCGTGTCCTCTTTTGGAAGGCCAAACAAAGTAGTTTCGCTTTCACAACGAAACACACAGTGCCTTCATGACATGGCAGCAACAACAATACTACAGCGAGAATAAAAGTTACGCCTTCTTTCTTTGCGTGAACATTTGGGCGGCGTTATGCAAATCTTCCCACATCATGACGTAGACATGTGGGGGCATGTTAGAACGAGCCATTTTAGGTAGACTCTTAACTTTTATAAAGAATATCTCTTTTGATTTGAGACTTTAGTCTTTGCAACTTTATAGATCTTCTTTATGCACCAAGAGCATCATATGACCCCTTTAAGCATCAAAACAATAAAAGTTATACTGCTTTACTTTTATTTTATTTTTCCTGAGCAAAAAATAATGACTAAATACATTTTTACAATGATTTACAGAAGACACCCACTAAAATGTAATTCAGTGTAACAGTAGTTCATATAACAAAAAAATAATAAAATAATAAAAATAATTCTTGTCAGGCATATTTAGACCAAGAATCATTATGTTTTCTTGGTCTTTACACCAAGATCATTAAACTATATTGAAGGATCAGATGCTATCCTTCAAACTACTAGGTTTTACCCATTTGTCAGCAAGAAGTAAACAAGAACTCAACTGAAATAAAAGACATGAAATCTCTTAAGATCTAAACAACCCCACAAACAGCATCACCAGCTCCTTATTCACTTTATGTCAGACAATGAATCTTCAAAAGTACAGCCATGTTTTCTCAAAGTGCTCCGTATAATGTCTTTAATAACATGACCAGATGCAGATGCTGTAAGGAAATGAAGTTCCTCTACTAGTTCATCTAAGCATGTATTGGAGACATTAAAAATGCTTTCCATTTTCAGGAGAAGCAACCCCACTCTCTTAGTAATGACTTTTTGCAAGTCATCCTTCTCCTCAAAGACAGAGCCACAGTCATTTTCATCCTGAACAAAGTCACTGTCTTCATCCGTCTTGTTTTGGTGTTGATGAAGAACAGTGGTCTTGAAATCTTCCAATGAATGTGGGTTGTGTTTTCTACTCTTGTGGCTGTGAAACGTTGTATATATGTTGGTCTTGTAATCACAACCCTCAAAAACACAAGGCACAGTTTCAAACGGCTGCCAATATGTATAAAATACTGTTTTTCGTTGTCAAAAGAGCATGAGTTACAGACTATGCACGTGAACGAAAGGATGTTGCCTGGCTTGGTTGCCTGGGAATGATGCCTTGACAAATGTGTCCTTAATGCACCCCATGTCCTGAGGGTGCAAGGACAATCCTCATAGAGACAGGGTATGGAGTGGTCTCGACCAAAATGCCCATGTATTAGTCTGCTGTGCTTCAACAGGTCTGATCTTTTTGCTGTTGTGAAGTTACACAACTTGCATTTCCAGTTCATTTTTCCATAACTGAGGCCTTTGATTAAGGTAACTACCCCTTTAAGGTCAATGTGATTTCTTTTATTTAGAAAACTTGCATACCTTAAGTCAGTCAATGTACAGGATACACTGGGTGGGTCAGTTATCTCCAGAACTGGTAACAACAGGGTGGTCTATCAGTGAGTCTTGGCTTGAGAAGGACAAATGAGAGTACCTGAAGAGAGGGCAAACATTAGTGAGGGTCTACATACAAAGTAAACACTAAGATATTACACGAGAGAAAAGATCAGACATGTACCTGGGAAGACAAATATGTGAGGGATACCTCACATATACCAAATAATTTGTTTGGGCTAAACTACAAACCGGAAAACGCATAAAAATAACGATTTGCACTGCGCTAATTTGCATTGAAAAACCCATAGGGAAGCTAGCGCTATTAACGTCTTACTTTTATCCACATTTTTTAGACACAAAACAACTTAAAGTGCTTTCTGTGAGTATCTAATGTAAAGTAACACCTTAATACAACACAACACTTACAGACAGATATTTTTAGGCGGCCGAACCACGTCTGGCAGCATCTTAACACAAACTTTTGCCATGGAAATCACTGCCGTTGCCACTGCAGCATGTCGCAGAGCGTCAATAGGCCTGTGCAAATAGCTTACCTTCCTTTTCGCAGATGAATTCCATGAATTCGATGGCGGCTGGCAGCAAGAGGAAGATGGCCGTGAAGTTACCCGTCCCGCTTAGTCAGATGCGCGGTTTGGCGCATACGCGATTTGCAGTACAGGACTCGGTTCTGGGTGTATTTTACCCTATTTTTCTATGTAACAGTTTTTACTTTTAACAAATAGGTAGTACGTGTATAATTTACCCATTACTTGATAATTCCTTGGCTGACTACAATAATCAAGTACATTTTATACGATTTACATAATTACATTTACCTCTCTCAAAAATCACTTTTTACAGTGCATATGAATGTTAATCTCGGGTTATTTCTCGCGATTGACAGCGTGCTGTTATTTTACTGCTTTTAAGCTCTTTTGAAAGCCTTTGTTGAGGTAATTTGCATTTTCAACATTTGATGTAATGTGAATGCGTAATACGTTTCATTTTGTTTTATGCCTCTTTGGTTTGATTGGCTGGGTAATGGTAGGAATTAATGTGAATGCTTTCAACCATATAAACACAAAGTCATGAGTAGGTCCACATGGAATTTCACCATTTTATAGCACACTTCCTTCAATAATTGTGGGGGAAAAGCTGCAGAATTGTGGAGAATTTAGGATACAGTGCATTTGATGTGTTTTTAGATTCAATGTAAGTTTATTAGTGACATTAATGTGTCGCTATGAAGCATATTCATATAAGAATATTTAATTTTGCTTACTGGTGTTCATTAAAGAGGTGATGCTTATACGTATAATGCATGATATGGTTCTCCAGTTATACGCTTCCTTTGGTCACCCCCACTCCACCATCTGATTCTGAAGTGTCTCTCAGGCTTGGGTAAACATCTACTCTTTTTAATTAAAATAAATCCACTTTCAGCCAATATTTAGCACCCTACAGGGACAGGGCTATACCTTTCAGATACGGGGATACAGTGGATAGATTTAGAATAGAGATATATAACAAGAGAGAGACTGAGATACAGAGGGAGAAATTGAGTTCTTTCATCTAGCCGTAAAGCAGAGACATGCATTGTTTATGGATGTGTAGAATAGCATTTTCAATATGACGCCACTTGGCCCTACTATACATTTTAGATGGGTTTACTACACATAAACACTGCTGAACATACACACAACAGAATGCACCTCTGGAATATTATTTTTCCCCTCTATACACACCTCTACTGTGCTCTATCCAAGCAGAATTAAAAAAATAATAATTTCCATTTTTGTTAAGAAATAGTTATTACGAAATCATTCTTTTTTTAAACGTAATAATGTTTTACAATATTTGTAAAACAAATATTACTGTATTTTTGATCAAATAAATGCAGCCTTGGCAAGCAAAAGAGAAGCAAAATGTCTTTTCTTTTCTTTCTTTTATACATTTTTATTGTCTTTCAAGTAAAATTGATCACATAGAAAAGTAATAGCACAGCTTTCCTCAACAAATATGTTCAAATAGTAGTAGTCTTAGAAAGACACATTATCATAACAGGGTGTCCGAGTTTTCAACTTTGTGCCTTTCCGTTCCCTGTACATTCATACAATTGAAATGTGACCTCATATCAGAGGAGCGATTCAATGGCATCCCATGCTAAAGCAGTTACCTGCATTGCTAGTGGTTGGGCCGACAAAGGAATAATGAATTCACATTCATCTTGAGGCTCACACGCATGGATTAAACTATCAAGAAGATCGCTGGATCTGGCTTGTTGACAGCACTTACCGCAAACTAAATGTTGCAGCATCAAAAACCTCACAAGCTCCAACATGTTGCCTCCCAAACAAACAGAAGAGGTGGAAAATGCTTCAGCGAGTCAAAGCTATCATTATGTACCTACTGAGAGCCCTCAGAAAGAAGCACTGTGATGACACTGCAAAGGTGTGTGTGTGTGTGTGTGTGTGTGTGTGTGTGTGTGTGTGAAATGCAGCATGAGTTTGGAGTGTGAGCGAGAGCAGTTGAAAGACGGGGATGAGAGAAGAACAGATATTAAGTGTCTGTTTTTAAATGATTTCCACAGAAGGGCTTTTATTTGCTTTGATGTCAAAAATCAGTTTGAAAATGGGGGATTCCAGCGTCCCGCTCGCGCAGGGAATCCGGCCCCTGCGTTGCCTGCACAAGTCCAACAACCGCTCTTCTGAGGAGTCAGGCCTTGTTTGATGATTTTACAGGTCTGCTTTAATCGGCCCCAGTGCCTCAGGTTTGACTGCTATTGATTCAAGGTGTCACGCTGAATTCAAAGTGTCTTTTATTCCAGATATGCTTGAATTCAATTAAATGACACACTTTTAAACTAGAACTAGAATTTTTTTTGGGGGGGGGGGAGGGTCCAGTGTAAATTTCTCTTATCTGTAAAATTAAATTGAATTAATTAATGAATTTTTAAAAATGTAATTATGACTGTCACAATTGTGATTTTACTTCTTGTAAATGCAGATTTAAATAAGATGCACAAAATAATATTTTCTAAGCACACTGGTTGTAAATAGAGTTGCCTTTTAGAAAATTTAGCATGGTTTTACTAGAGTAACGGTAACTGTAAATATCAAAGAGTGAATTTTCATAATTGTGAAAGGTTCTTAAATGATTAGAAATAAATTGGAAAAAACCCATGAATCATTTTTTTTTATACTTTGCGCCTCCTTTGGGTTGCTTGTTTAAAATATATTTTTTAGGGTAATTATTGGACAATTACTTCTTACCTTTCTCTGGCGTATTATATTTGGAACCATGAAAGCTCAGAGGTCTTTGTTCGATTCGGCCTTGTATTTCACTGTAACCGTTAGGGGGCGATAAAGACTCGTCCACACAAAGCAGCTGGCTTAAAGCAGCCAGGCGGCAGCCAGTGCGTCCACGCTCGGATGAAGATGCAGGCACATGCCCGTGCTCCAGTGCGGTTGAGCTGCGGCACATTTCTCAGCATTTATTCACCCTGCCGGACGCTCGCTCTCAAATTAATTTTAAAAAGAGAATCTTTAACCGAACGCGCCTAAATGACATCAAGTGAAGGGAAAAACAGCATTTATTTTTAATAATGCAAAGCAATGTCATACACAGTGGCGATTCTAGGATTTTCATTTTAGGGTAGGGTGACCATACGCCAAAACCTAGATATTTTAGGCAATATAGAAATCCTGGCCAAGACGCGTCCTGGGAAAATGGCACGTATGGTCACCCTATTTTAGGGGGGCTCAGCCCCCAATGAGGGTTCAAATGAAAATGGCAACATCGTTTTATAAAGTATATGCGTTCATTTGTGCTTCATTTTCACTGGAGGAAACCTGTGGTGTGATGAGGGGTGAACGCAGCGAAAACTTAGGCTACAGTAGTTGGGGAACCGATTGCACCCCCATGATATTTTGTAAACTGTCTTTATTACAAAGAATTGCACAGATGCAGATATTATAACAATCTATCGATAAACACACATCTTGTCCTCTGTTTCTCACTCTGCGCCTCTGCGGATTGAAAAAGAACGCGCTGAAAGACAGAGAGGAGTCGATCGAAGTCTGCCTGCGTTTTCACATGAAGTTTAAAGGGGACTGAGGCGACCACGAATTTGTGTACAGCAGGGATCCTCAAATCTGGCCCATGAGATCCACTTTCCTGCAGAGTTTAGCTCTAACCCTAATCAAAGACACCTGAGCATACTAATCAATGTCTTCAGGATCATTAGAAAATCACAGGTTGGTGAGTTTGATCAGGGTTGGAGCTAAACTCTGCAGCACATTGGCCCTCCAGGGCAAGACTTGAGGAACCCCGGTGTACAGTTTATGGAACTAATCGCCATATTTTAGCGTAGAGGCTCTACTGAGTAGAGTAGAGGCTATCCACCTTTTTCTTCAACGCAGAAGTAAGCCTATGGGTGAGACTTCCGGTTCATTGTTCATTGTAGAGGCTCTACTGAATAGAGTAGAGGCTATAGCCCCCCTAAAAAGGGCCTAGCGACGCCCATAGGCATACATATTGCCCATCAAAATTACATCTATCTATCTATCTATCTATCTATCTATCTATCTATCTATCTGAAAGTATACCGTTTTTTTCCAGTTTAATATAATATTTTAATATTATATTCATATTTTATTATATTGAATATATGTCTCTTGTATAAATATATTTTATAATTATTGTTTTTTTTATGTTTGTATAATAATTTAAATAACATTTTAAAAAGAAACATAAATATAATCAAAATTATAATATAAATAGTGCATTATATATATCTCCCAGATTTAGCGGCTATTTACATAAGGAACAAAGTTTAAAATTAAACTGGTAAAGATTATTATTATTGTTATTGTTATTAATAATATAAAATGTATTTTATCAGTTTAATTTTACTTTGTTATATATATTGCATACTTATTATATATTATTGGTGGCCCTACTGTCTTTAACGTTTGATGTGGTGCGCTTTGGGTCAACTTTTTGGATAACACCATGGAAAGCTGTGAGGCAAGATCGGAGAGAAGCTTTGAGCGCTCCCCAGCCACCTCTGCCCACAGCATCCTCCTCCTCCTCCACACCTCCCCCTCGCTGTTTCTTCCTCTTGCATGAGCGTCAGTGTTGGCTCGGCCCGGGAGCTGTGCGCACAGCGGTGTCAGTTATGGAGCTGTAGGAGCGCTGCCGAGCTCTCGCCCTTCCCAAGACTGATCACATTCACTCTGGCGTAGACTCAGAGAGCGATCGCACGGGGCCAGCACCACCCCGACCGATTTACGCTGGATTTAACTGCGCGCCACGGAACTTTGTAGCGGCTTTCTGAACGCGGAGTTAAGAGTGTAATGAAACGACAAAACATATTTACACTTTAAACACCGGAGAGGATCGCGGAAGCGATCTGTAAGGTGCTTCAGAAGCTCTTGAAGGAACCGTAGCGCGCAACGTTTCCACGCGCGTTTGGACAGATCTGCATCTGTCTTTACGCGTGCTCGCTGCTGTTTCTGATTCGCTTCTGCTGTTTCGTAGTCCCGTTAGGACGGAAATCAAAAGCTGGTATAAGGCATGGTAAAACTCACGGGCTGACAGACACTAGTTCAATCCTCATGGTGCGCGTGGATCTCATTCCTCATCCAGAAAGCCACCATGAGCCCAGCGATTACTCAACTGAAATTTCAGCTGGATCTGAGCGGCTGCTGAGAGTTCCTACATACTTCAAATACTAAAAGAGGAGAAACTCGTCCAGTGTTTGAGAACTGAGGTGTGGAGTGGATGTGGACTATGACAGAATGAGTCCTCTAACACACCTTTTACTCTGTGGATTAGTATACTTTAACCAAGTGGATGGTGAGTTACTTTTCATGCTGCGTTCTAACAGAAAGGTTTTGCTTCGAAGAAGAGCTTTTTGAGTTTCTGAGAGTTTGCGATTCATGTATTAGCCTACCCTGCCAAATGCATAATTTAACTTTATATTCACTCTTAAGGAGTGAATATATTATTATTATTATTATTATTATTATTATTATTCCTTCATTATTATTATTATTTTATTCATTTATTTTGTTTTGTGGATACGGCAATGAATTTTACAGCAAAAAAAATATATATAATTTTTTTATTATACAGTAAGAGTGCGGGGTTTTATTTTGGAAATGTCTTTCTGGCATTGCTTGGCAAAGTAAATTTAGTTTTAGTCCGAATAAGAATGTTATGTTGCTGCGTATATGTTTCTTGGAGAAGAGAATTATTTGTACTTGGAAGGAGGAATGCTTGGTTTAGTATGATTTGTCATAAAATGTGTTAAACTTCTGGTGTAGTTCATATTTATAACTCCAGCGTTGAAGCAGTGTGGTTGTCCACAGCAGATGCCACAGTCGCGGTAGTCTCAGAATGTGCGGTGACACCTGCTGTGAAAAGCACCAGTGGATGCGCAAGGCGTGGCGCAAAGATGCACATGTGGACCCCAAATGAGAACCATAGGGAATGACAAACTGATCATTTAGATTGTTTTTGCAAAGAAATGTATGTGCAAACATTATCCAGAATGAGATGTTTCATCAGTCCAAGGGTATTAAACAATTAACTGAATCAGTGACACCTAGCCACAATAGTCTGCACTGTATTCTAAAGAGCTTTCAGTATGGATACTATCTTAGAACTGGTGTTATTAGTTGCATCTTCTGAGATGTCTGTGTTTGGGTTCATTAACCCCTCTTGCTTAGCCCGTTCTGCTTTTTAAAATATTACATAAGGATTATGATTTCCAGTAAAACTCAGAGGCTTATATGATTTAAGTAATATTTGAAACATCATGTTTTTTCCCCCCACGTCTGTTCTTGTCTTTTCTCTGCATTCCCTAAGCTGCCTAAAGTGCTCAGTTCTGTTGTAAACATCAAGACCGTAAAGGAGATTAGAAGCCAGTCACTTCTCTCCGTTTGGTAGTCGCTGATGTATAATCATGTAATGCATGCAACTAGATGAGTAATGGACAGTGAGCACTTGTTAGCTTTTTAATTAATCACTAATGAAGATATTGTTAATGGTGTGAAACAAATGACTTGATTGGTGTGTCTAACCATTAAGTCTTGTATCTTAATAGAATAAAATTAATACTTAATTGTAGTGTACGCTGTGTTTAGATAAGGCAGACTGCACTAGAAGTTGGCGTGGGTTGTATTTGTTTGTTTTTTTCTTGATGTGAACAGTTCAGATTTGTCTTTGAGACAGTCACATACATATTATAGTAGCTGTGTCAAGAGTGTCTTTGTCCGAAAGCCCGTTTCGCACTTAACCGTGTTTGCTTGGGTTTTTGTTTGAGCTCTTTAAGGAGAATGAGGCCGGTAGATGTTACAGTGACTGATGAGGGGCTCAGTCAGGCTACAGCTTCTGCCATTGTCTTTCCAGCTTCTGCACTTGTCTTGCTGTTTGTCTCCTGTTTTTGTCTTTGTATCTACCATGGAGGCTGCTAGTCTAGCCCAATTCATCTCAGAAACTCACTGTTCTTCCCCATTTCTGTTGCACCCCAGCTGCCGGTTGCTAGGTGCCGGTTGAAGGCATGGCACTTCGTTTTTGGAGGAAAAGAGGGGTGTAGGTCTCTCTAGAAGAGCCCATGAATCACCCCAGCGAATCGTTTGCCCCGTAACCCTCCTCTCTCCTGATTCGACTGGTCTGTGAGAGGTAATCCGGCCGTTCTGGTGGAAGGTGGAACCGGGTTTGAGGAACAGCCCTCTCCAAGCAGACAAAAAAGGCTGTGGAGATGCATTCAGAAGAGGCTGTGTTTGTTACAAAGCTGTCCTGGGCTTGAAAGACTGTAGTCAGTTGGTTCTGTTCAGGGCCGAGGTGATTAATGCTGCTCGGGGAGGGAGGGGTAGGAACAGAGACTTGGGTGAGAAGGAGTTTTTGGGGCTCAGAGTTAGTGAGAATGGGACAAGCCTGTCGTTTTGATGTTGACTTGAAGCATCTAGTCTATAAAACAGAAAAGTTATTTTAGTTTAGGAGATCTTTAGCGATTTGGCTAGTCCAATTGGACACTTTTTGCCTGGGAAAATCTAAAACGGGAGGAACAATTGCTTAGACTTAGATTGATGAAGAGACCGGAGCCATATCTAAAGTCTTAGAGTGAACTCTTTTCACTTGATTCTTGAAACCTAGTCGATTTTATAAGATATACAGTGTAGCAGAAATGCCTACTCTTGGCTGCAGTACGTTGTCCTTGAAGCTGTAGGTTCAATGCTCTTGTCCCCATGTTCCCACGTCCCAGTTTTCTGCTATTATCCAGGGTCTGATCCCTTGGTTAACTTTGCTGCTTTTAGTAGTGTGTTGATAACCGAGAGCAGAGAACAAGGTTGGCCCACTCCCAAGCTCCCCTGGTGGAGGTGAGGAGACGTGCACCTGCCTGCCAGCGGTCCCTCGTGGATCCACTCTGATGACGACGCTGTATCTGTCTGCAGGCTGAAGCTTCAGTTCTGCACCATCAGGAGAAACTAAAACCCAGACTAGAGTGTATGTGTGTCTGCAAGTCGTGACTGAAAGAGGCAAGGAGAAACGTATAACTGTAGGTAATGCATTTGCAGCAAAATGTCAGTGTGGTTTTCATGAACTCAGAGGTTTATTTGATTGCTCTCTTATGCTATATTAAAGTATCGAGTTTATTTCAGGTGCTTCTCCTAAATAATTTTAGGAGAAACAACAAAGACAAGATAGTTCAATGAGTTGTTGATTCTCCTAAAATTCCTTAGGAAATTTACCTTAATTTAGATTGCTGTCTTAGATTTGCTGTTTCGGTTTTCTTAAATTCGTAGTGTGTTTAATAGTACCAATGACATGAACAGGCTCGACGTAATTGAATGTGATCTGTAATTAAGCTTGCAGTTGCGAGGTGGGTCTGATCTGGGGTCTTTGTGAATGAGACGTAATAAAAGCTGGGTTTAAATGGAATTGTTCTGCACTAGTTGGCTAGGCTGTGATGCATCGCTGTTGTAATTGTGCCTCATTTTCGAAGAGAGGCCTGTGGTAATGACGCGTACACGGCTCAAAACCACAAAGCAGCCACACTGGAGTCAGGGAGTGTTTGTGCATGTGAGGATGTGTGACTCTTTCTCAGTTTAGCGCTCAGATTAAAACAAGGATGGGCTCTCGGAGAGAGAATGTGATGGATAGCTGGAGCGAGAGGGGAGATGATGGGCGAGCAAAGAGGGAGTGGAGGGTGTAGGGAATCTATAATGAGGGTTAAAGTCAGGGGTCAGCGTGTGGGCACTTTGCTGACATTGTTGTAGTATCAGGCAGTAAGAGCATTGAGTATCTCAGCATGGGAGGCTGGATAGTATTACACCACTGCTGCTATACTTAAGAGTATCACTTAAACACTCTAAACCTGCTTCTTCCTCCTCTGAGAGTCAGCCAAATCAGTCTTATAATTGATAATTATTTCCTTTGCAAGCAAAAAACGCGACATCAAGCCAAACTCAGCCTCTGGAAGTGCGATGGAAAAAAAAACAAGACGTTTTTCTCTCGTTCACAGTTTTTGTTGACAGTAATTTTGTTGATTCACACCATCAATGGCTGTAAATTTGAGATTGGATGAATGACATTTAAAAGTGGCTGCTGAATCAAGAATGCGATGCAGTGCAGTAGCCGTATTTTAGTAGTTTCTCTCAATGGAAATGTCACAAGCAACACAAAGTGAGGAGATTATATACATTATAGTCGGAAAAGAGCTTCCAGGGGATGAGACCACAGTGTTTTCATCTGCTTGGCTCGCTCTCAGTCAAGCATGCCTATGACATTTTCTAGAAAGAGGATGCAGTGGTGTGAGACTCGGAGCGAGGACCATGTTCTTTAGTTAGACGTTTCAATTGTTTTGGGGATTAGAAAATGACTTGATGTGGCTTAATTTTGTCTTTTAGGTTTAATTAAACTCTTAGTCCTTCAAGCTAGCCATTTAGATGTGGTTCTAATAAAACGCTTTCTTTCCTTTTTGCTGTCAGGTGTTTGATCATTATTTGACAAGGACGTTCCAGTTTGTAACCTTTATAACTAGGGACAATGCACAGAAATGTCATGAAGACTCTATTGTGGTCATGTCAAGAAGCCGGACTCGCTGACAAGATCAGTTACACACATTGTAAACTCTTTTCTCTGCACATGTACTCACTGATAACACTCTGTTGAGTTGCAAGATGCATATGGATTATTTTCTAGAAAGTGGATAAAGCATGTCAAGAGAACTTTTTTTCATTTAAAGAACCAATTTTTCAGACTTTTAATACATGTGTTAGCTTTGACGAATGCTACTGTACTCCTAGAAGTCAAAAATATGCATTCTTTGTCTTCCAGTAAACGGACCAAAAATATTGATTAACATGTCCATTTTATGCAGTTAAATGCTGGAAAAAAAACACCTGCCTAAGCTGGTTTGCTTCCCAGCCTGGCCAAGCTAGTATTTAGCTGGCTGGCCAGTTGGTCTACTAACTTGACCAGTTGAAACCTATCCAAAAATGAAAGAAATCTGGAGCTGTTGAGCCATTTGGTCTTTAATGTAAATAAACAAAACAGAATGAGCCAAGTGTCAGATTTTCTCTCAGTGAAGCACTGGGCATACACTCTCCCTAGTTTCCTAGACCCAGACTGCCAGTCAGAAAGGAAACTACAGTGCGATAAGTATTAGGGACCATTTCTCTGGCTAGAGATTGTTCTTTTGAGATAGCGACCTGGCCTTTATCTTTCTCTCTACTTGACAGTCAACAGACTCGACCGAACACAGTTTGCACAATCCACTGACTTCTTCAGTCCACAAAGTCATGTTTGAGAAAATGTCATTTGCTCTTTCATCCGTTGGCTTCACCTTG